AGCAAATGATATTTTTAAGTCTGACACGCATGATAAAATTCCAGCCAGGAGTCAAAATCCCATTTGCTGTTGACACTATCAATCAGTCTGTACTTTCAGCCGCACAAGTAGCAGTTGTTTTTGTAGCTGCTGAGCTGTGTGATAGGTGTTTGTTATAAACCTCCTAAATGGTTATTTAAGTCTGCTTACTGTGGTCTGTGGCCGAACAGAAGCTGAGATCTAAGTGATGTTTTATAATTTGCCAATTTTCTGACCAGTGCCATTTGTAAAGTAAATGGATGACTCATCCGGTCATCACACAGTGCAACAAGATTCTGTTGTTTTTTCTAAGCGTGTGCAAACTGGTCTGCTATTCCACTAAAGTAAACTAACAGAAATGCCAACGTAGGTTTTGGGTAGAATCAGTGTAGAGTCCACACAATAACAACTATATCATTATGCAGTTGAGGGATAAGTCAGTCCTTGTTCTGTCTAAGACTCCTTTTCAAACATTGTCTAAAGTTAATGTAAGGCTTTAGCAGTCTGCGTTGGTCCGATGACATGGACATCTTCTGAAGTTAGCAGTAAGTTTAGAATAAAATTAGCATTTTTTGTCCACAGGCAGAATTTTTATTAAGCTGTGATGAAGAGATAATAACACTGACGGGGAATTTTGTACTAAAAAGACATACACTTTGCAATATACCCTCTTTATTTGTCTTGTTTGGGCTGCTGAAGCTTTGTGCTAGTGAAGCAGTGTTTTTCTCAGAATGAGGACTGTGCATTTTGCCCCAGTTAGTTCCACTGAAACCTCATTGAGAAGCAATATTTTAATGGCCAGTATGAACAGAAGGAATGGTTGCAGCAAGAAAAAACCTGTTTCAGTATTTATATGAGCTGCAGACTTTATTTTGTAGACAGACTTAAATAAATGTGAACTTTTATTTTAATTTAAAAGGTGCAACAGCAGACATAAAGGATCAGGTTTAGGTTTGTGTTGATATCAGTAAGTTAAAAATTACCTTAATCAGGAGAGATCCCCAGTAAAAATGTTTCTTTTCATGGTGTCTACTAGTATCTCTTATGTAATATTAAAGCATATGCAGTAGTATGACCACCTTGAATTAAGAAGTCTCAGCATAATTTTACAACAAGATAAGTAATGTTGTTGGAAAACATCCTCAATTATCAAGAACCAAAGTTGTAAGTTCTTGGAGATTTATATAAATGGCATGTATACCATCTGGTTTTCAAGCTGCATCCAATCAGTAGAATATTTAATGTGCTTAAATGGCTCCTTTAGGAAACCAAAGAGCAGTCGGGAGTTCAGCTGTGTCACTGAAACCTGTAAATTAGAAGATGACCACATTTGTGTACTACACAACGGACTCACTATTTCTTAGGAATTCTTAACTGTCACACAAACAATACCACAAAATCCACATATTCATTGAGGACAAGAGACTCTTGTCTGTCTGTAGATGTTGAGGGAAGTAGTTCAAGTATTCAACAGTACATTGACAGTCTTACTTGTTCAGTGTGTTGGGGTTTGTGCTGTTGATCCCTGAGAGTTTGCCCCTGAAGTAACATTGAATATTGTGTGTGCTACAGGGTCAGGGAGCCATCACAGAGAAGCTGCGTAGCTTGAGTATGCACGACCTCACGCAGATAAACCAGCAGGACGACCGAGGAAACCAGCTGTACCAGTACAGCTCCCACTCAGCCAACCCGGCCGTTAGGAGATCTCAGAGCAGTGACGCCGCAGACGGAGCTGGTACGTACATACACAAACAGACATGTACACATCCAACCAGTGTGTCCGACCCTGGCTTTCTTTTTTTTATGAAGGCATGTTGAGTCCAGAAAAGACAAGTTTTCAGGATTAACTTTGAGTCTTAAACTGACTTCAGCCACAGAAAATTGCATATCTGTTGCATGAGGCAGGTGTGTGGGAGAGGTGTCAATCAGACTCCTGCAAACTGATCTATAACTAGAGCTTATTCGTCATTATGATCACATGAACAGATTGTCTTCAATAATTTGTGTACATTTATGGTTCTGTGGTGCATAATAAAGAGGAAGAAGAACCCATACCAAATATGTAGCACCGCTGTAGCCCAGACCTTGCTCATTGACACCACAGCACTATACTTTGTGTTTTGTAGTGCATTTAGCAACACTATCGCTTGAATTTAAAAAAAGAAAAGAAAAGGTTACTTAAGGAGAACACCACTGATGATAAGATCAGGATGCACTCACCACAAGGTTTCCATTGTGTCACAATCTTAGAGGAAGTTATTTTAACCTATGTTGTGCAGCTGGATCAGAAAAACTTTCTTAAGCCCCGGTTGAGAACATTAACAGCAACAGCAGGGGGCGACTCCACTGGTCGTAGGAAGAAGTCAGATGTATAGAAGTCTATTAGAAAATTCTTCTTCTTTTTCTTCTTTATTGAACACTTTCCTTCCATGAGTTTATGGTCTCTGTTGCTGCTTTCGCGTCTCCTTCCATACAGCATGGTGTTAATTTTTTTAAATTATGCTCCTATTTACAGTCAAATAGGAGGGTGGGCTTCAGTGCGGGGCGACCTTGTGATTGACAACTTGCTTACCAAGCTGTCCAGTTAGTGCTGGCCTTCTCTGACAAATGAAACCAGAACAGTGGCTAGCCCACCTAGCGGCTGGTGGTGTGTGTTAACCACAGGCTATGGGGTTGTTTCCCCTGCATCAATGCTATCATAGCTATTTATTCAAAAGCAAATTTAGCTAACATTAAGCTGCCAACCTTTAGTTTTGTGTTTCGACCACATATCCTCCTGAGCTCCAACCTTTTATCAAAACATGGTCACTTCTGGCTCTTACTGCAGTGATCGTCCACAAACCAATGGTGGCAACATCCACTTAATTTATATAGTCTATGGTTTGGAAACAGTACAAATTTCCACCTGTTTTTCAGTAAATCGTCCCCAGAGTCAGAGCTGCCACTGTCAGATAGTCTGAAATATTTTTCCTACCAATAAGCGCGCAGACAGGGCTGTCATTTATATCACCATGTCTGCCATGGCTTTGTACGACAGCCTCATCAGCTTATTATCTCTATTTTTTTTTTCCTTTCTTCTTCCCTTCTCTGCTTGATGAGAACTGCAGGTTGGCTGGCATTTCAATGAAAGCACTCTGCAGCTGTGTGAGAGAGAGTGTGTGAAAGATGACTTCCCAGCAGACAGAGGGGATGAGATGAGGTTGACTAGGATGCCAGTGGAATGTCAAACACATACTCCCTCTATCTGTATTCCTTCTGTCTATTTCTCTCTCTCTCTCTCTCGCTCTCTCTCTCTCTCTCTCTCTCTCTCTCTCTCTCTCTCTGTTTCCATCACACACACACACCACACACGCACAACCAGTCACTGATGCAGAGAGAGAACAAGATAGCAGGGGTGGGGATGGAGGAGAAGGAGAAGAGGACAAAGATGAATGTATAAGAAGAGAATGGAAATGTAAAGGATGGATGAAGGAGGAGTGAATTGGAAGAAGAGGTCAATGAATGGAGAGAGAAAAGGCTGGAAGACGTATTAGCATACTGAGAGAGGAAAGAGTGTATTATGTATTCAGCTCAGCCAGCCAGCACGATATAGAGAGATGAAGGGAGGAAGAGAGGCAGAGGAAGAAAGATGTTTTCACCCTCCAACTGCTCTGTTTCATATGGTTCTCATTGTCGTGTAGGTTGTTCATATGATATTAAACACCCTCTGGTGGTCATACTAGAGGCCCCTTGTTCCTAATGGATCTAACAGAGATTTGGTGGTATTCTATTTTACTGTCAACAGATCTGTAGACCAGAACCAACAAATGTATCTGTGTATACCATAGCCTGGTATCGTCTTTGCTGATTGTAAGGATTTACATCTTCAGAAGGAACCAGTGGGTTTTGAGCTGAGAGCTGAGCGAACACGTGCTGTCCAGCTTTACTGCCAAGCACGAACTTGCATTGCTCATAAAAACTGCTGGTGTGTGTTTTAGCTTAAAGTAATAACTGAGTTCTGTAATTTGGTGCTAGACTATTGGGACTGGAGGCGTATAGGACTGAATGGTAAATATATATATTTTTAAATTAACATATCTTGGACTGCAAGTACACAGATGACTCTCACAGATGACACCAGTGTCGTGGGGATACACAAGTAATGTGTCACCAACGTTGCACACTGTCAAATGAATATAGATTTGGCGTTTTTGACCATCATAGTAATTAGTGGTTATTAGATCACTTTTTATCTTTCATCCATTTGAGACAGTGTGAGAAGAGAACTCATTTGGTTGATTGTCAGTGAACCAAGAGGTGCAGCAATGATTCAAATTTGGAAAACATGAACAGAGAGAAGAATAGATGTAGTCTATCATGTGTATGTTCCCCCTTAATGTGGGAACTTTCTACTTTACAGGTCTGCTTTCCTGACTAATATATGAATAGATAAACTGCCTTTTAAAAGGATCGAGCCCAAGAACACAGCTCTGTGATGCATTTTGCTGTTTTTTGTTTTTGTTTTGCCAGAACAGCCTGAGTAGTTGGACAGAGGCTTGAGAATGACAGAAAAACTCAAAACTAACATCCTGCTAAGACAATGTAAAGACCAAACCTTGTCCAGTCTTAGTTTGAAGTCGTTCTTTTTCCAAAAGAATTTAGAAGGATTACCAAATCCTGATTCAACGAGCTGCTCTGTGCAAATGACTTTTCTTTTTTTTTTTTTTTTAAAGTTAGGTGCAGGGGATCAGTGTCCTGCCCAATAGTTTAGAGTCATTTCATTTTTTTGTTGGTGCCATGAGTCTGATTTGGGCTGCACCCTGTGAGCTGCTGTGTTTCCTCAGTATAGTCTGTGAGCCAAGCAGACTTGAACATCCAGAAACAGACATGGGAACTGACTGCAAAACTACAGGTCTGGAGCGTTTTCCTCTTTTGTTACAAATGCTGGTTTCTATCCAGCCGACGCATACAGTGTTCAGAGTGTTTTTAGATCTTGTGTGGGAATTTAAGCTCTCATGTGAAGCTGTCTCACTCCACCCCCTTTGTTCTGGGAGAGGAAAGGTGGAGAGTTGCCTTCAACTCTGGAGAATGGCGAGGGGCCCCTTATAGACTCCAGATGTGACAACAGCAGCAGAAGGAGCTAGAACCAGAAAAAACAGAAACCACACTGCTGTTCTCATACTAGCTTTACGCTTGACTTCATGTAAGGGATAGTGCTTAACTCAGTTGTGTGTTCTGTAAAGTTTTTTGGTCATTTTTACAATCATGACATGTATAAACAGGTATTATCCAGTCTATACCAGAGCCACTTATAAACAGAAGGCCGTATGTAATTAATAACACTTAAAATATCAGTCGTTATTTACACACTTTAGGAATTCTGAACTTGCTTTAATGTTAACGTCTACCTTAACAGGATCGGCTTTGCAAGCGTGTGAATGGGTTCTATGGAAATACAATGAATTAAATTGAAATTGTTGTTCTCTGTCCCAGAGACATGAAGAGTCCCTGCTCATGTTTTTACAGCATCCTCCTGTATTCTTCACAGCAGAGTTGTGTAAAACACAGCTCACGACAGATAAATGTCAAGGGCAGGGTTTTACACGACTCACGACACTGAGAAGCACAAATGGAATATCGTAACCATAGCAACTTTGTTTTGGAGGGATTTATTTGGGCTTTACTTGATCTGCTTTACAGTCAATACCATCCTTGTAAGGCATTTTGTAGCAACATTTGCTAAATTAAGGTGAAGAAGGTGACACTTGTATGGGTGCTGTTCTCTTCTGATGCTGCTGAGAACGATGGCAGGTCCACGATTTGTTTAGACAAACGCATGAAGCTAATGATACAAATGGTGCAGATGAGTCGTGGTGGTACACAGAAGGTGTTTGTATTACACCAACCGCTAAGCAGAATTCAGATTTACATTTCTTCATGACTCTTTTGGAGTCCAGATTTTAGAGTTAGAACGGGTTCCTGATGTCCCATCCTACGGCTCTCCCTGCTCCCTCTCTCAAAGACCATCGACTCTGTTCTCATCTCGTTTGTCCTTTCAGCTACCCGCTGCTCTGGTCATTACGTCAGTTTAATACTTAAACAGACACCTTTGTCACAGGTGTCAGGTTAAACTGTCTGATTATTATAAGTTCATCCAGTAATAATTTGCTGCATGATTACCAGATCTTTCAAGAATACTGTTAACAAAAACTAAGTCAGACAAGAAAGTCGTTTTCTGGCAAAAACACTGACGTTATTTACGCCAAATTCTTGATGCCTAAGCCACATTGTTGGAGAGATTGTGCTCATCACTTAGATTTTTCTTGTGGGCTAAAACAGATCATGTGTGTAACAGTAGTGTTTTTAAGAGGAGAGAGCCGAGCTTGGAAGCAGCAGTAGCAGCTGGTGTCTGCTGACCTCTGCTGGACCACCTGCCCCTCACACTCAGTTTAAATCCCTTAACAGGTGATAACGTGTTTGTTGCTCTTTTTATCTGTTCATCCTGTATGCACCTTATTTTAGGTGGTGAACCAGCAAATAGAGAATAATTGTCAATAATTTTCATTGTGTCGATTCACTTGAAGCATCATTGTTGTGTTTCTCACTTATAAAGAGCATTCGACATTCAGATCCATACATCCATTATCTATACACCACTTCATCCTCACTAGGGTGCCAGGGGGGCTGGAGCCTATCCCAGCTGACTTAGGGTGAAGGCAGGTTCACCTGGACAGGTCACCAGTCTATCACAGGGCTACAATTAGAGACAGACAACCAAGCACACTCACATTCACACCTACGGACAATTTAGAATCACCAATTAACCTCAACATGTTTTTGGACTGTGTGGGAGGAAGCCGGAGAACCTGGAGAGAACCCACATTGCACAGGGAGAACATGCAAACTCCACGCAGAAACATCCTAGGTGTCCTCACCGGGACATGAACCAGTGACCTTCTAGCTGTGAGGTGATGGTGCTAACCACAGAGCCACCTTGCTCCACATTCAAATCCATCTCATAATAGTCATTTACACTGTTTCAAGTTGACATTTGTAAGTCCTAAATATAGATAAAGACACAACTGAACAACTGAGGTAAAACTATTATTGTAGGGCATTTATTTATTGCAGAAATCAATTCAGTACTACATATCTGAGTATCTGTGGTCACTTTGAGTTTCTTTGCGGTTGCTTTGTGTCTATTTGTAGTTGTTGAGTCTTTGCTGTGAGTCTTTGGCTGTTTTGAGACTCTTTGTGTTGCTTTGCAGTTGTTGTGTGTCTCTGTGGCGATTTAAAATCTCTGTGGTCCTTTTGAATGATTTTGTGTTCATAATTCATCTTTTTGTGGTCTTTGTAGTCTTTTCACTGAGTTCTGTAACTTAAAAAAAGAACAGAAATGCGAGCAGTGACTTCACACTGACAGTGGGCCTGAAGCCTGAAGGGTTGTTAGAGACAGATGCATTGGTCCAGGTCATGTTCAATGATACATTAGATAGATAGATAGATAGATAGATAGATAGATAGATAGATAGATAGAACTTTATTGATCCCTTTGGTAGAACCTCAGGGTAATTGTTGATATATGTGTATGTGTTTTTCTGTTTTTCAGAATACTTCTATGAGCAGGAGGAGAGGACAGATGAAGAGGCTGAGCCAACCTTCTCTGAAGACGAGGCTGTCACACAGAAAGGACTGAGGCGATCACAGAGCGTCAAGATCTCACGATCCAGAGTCCGCAAAGATGTGAGTGTTCTGTTCCACACCGCTGACAGCACCAAGCATCTGTGTAGCTATAGACTTTAAAATATGACTAAAAAAAGAAAGCTACTCTTGGAGAGATACATGAGAGGACATTCTCATGTGGACAGAGACACTGTGGGAGGTAAAGTTAGCGCTCCTCCAAGGAGGCAGTGACAGTTTCATTGACTGTCACAGCTGGCATTCTGTTGGTTGGGGGCTTTTGTCAGGGTTCACTCAGATCTGAAGCGAGAGCACAAATCTGAGAGCAACAGTTTTGTGGAGCAGTGTGAGTGCATTCAGACTAAAGCACTGGACGTGTGCACCGACAGCAAATGTGAGCGCAGACAAAGAGTTCAGAGCAGAAGCAGATTTGCACACAAGCAGGGGCTATTTGAGAGAGAATGTGGTTTTAAATCAAAGCCTCTTAAAATCTGAACATAAAATGAAGAATTACTGATCTCAGACTAAATGGCCAAGCGTTTGAACATAGATAGGAAAGTGCCTTCATACTCTGAACACATTCATAATGTATTGTTTGGTTTTGTCACCAGGCTCGTTATGGATCACTGAAAATTAAAGGCAAGAAGAGACCAGCACTGAGCTCTGTGAACTACGGACTGTGAAGAGACTACTGCTGACACACACACACACACGCACACGCACACACACACACACACACACACCTGCATATACACACAGCAGAGCAGTCTGCTGATTGGTGGATGGTGTTGTCAGTTTGTTTTTCAGCTCTGACTTTTCACTCTGCTGAACTTTTTGATGTCCTTTCTGTTGACATATTTATTACCAGATTCATTCAAAACCAGTGGCTCTGAGAGATTTTGCTCTTGGAGGACTTTAATAATTTCCTTTGGGTTGATAAGACTTTTGTATGAAACATGTGTCTTTGTCATCAGACTTTCATTAAAATTGTAGACTTATTATGTCTTCGTAGTTTTTCCAAATTTAGATTCATTTAGCCACATTTAGTTTAGTTTCATACAAGTTACGTGGTAAATAAGGCATTCTCTGTGTGTGCAAAACCTGTAACTAACGGCTACACTAGTGTTTAAATCATTTAAGTTGCTTTATAGCACAGTCGTAAACCATTAATAAGAACTTTTTGGTTGTCAGGTTGTGAAAAATCCCTGTAGTTCTTGTTCATCTTCCTCTAATGTGACCCTTTTAGTCTTTTTAGCTTCATCATGGAGACTGTCCCAGTGGTGTCACCCTTTGGAAAACATGAACAAAAACTCACTTGATAGATTGTTTCTTCACTTTTTAACATCATGCCTTGGGGAAAAAGTGAGAACCGTGACTTTTTATTCAAGCTCAGCTGTTTATATGCTGAAGTGTTAAACATCTAACAAGCTTTATCAGGTCATTCTGGAGAATTTGATAGCGACATGAGCATCACTTTACATTTTACAGCTGAACCATTGTTTATGCTCCTCTGACCAACAGCGGCTACATTTAGCAAACTCTGGTAAAGAAATGACTGTGTAACTAACAGTATTGAGTTAGTTCCCTGACTTTATAGCTTTGTTTATTCTCATGTTACATGCTTTACTTTAGCAAGCTGCGAATACAGCTCAAGAAATCTCAGTTAAATTTATTGGAAGTGCCTCCTGTGGCCGCAGTGGCTGCTGTTTGGAAACATGAACACAGTCTTACTTTAAAGGTACAGTTCAAAGTGGATCTATTAACTGTGGGTAATGTTAGAAGATCACTCAAAGAATTGTCAACAACTCCATAGTTCTCCTCTGCTGGATTGAGCTTTATAGTGAATTCCAGCCCAGTGTTTCAGCAGCAGACAGCTGACTGCCATGAAAAATTGCTGTACACAGGTTAAAAGTAGAATATTAAATGTTGAGCTTTACTGGCTTCAAAGACTTGAACACATTTGGAGCTGCAAACGTCACATAACCTGACAAACCAAACTTTGCTCTATGAATGGCATATAAGTGACCTGTAAGGCATTGCTGATGATTTCATTATCCATTTAGTCATGTTTTTCCTTTAGCTTAAAACTTCTTTATAGGATTCACCTTTTTAAAAAGAGGCACCGTTACTTCTGTTGCTGTTCAGGTAGTTTATCAACTTGTTCCTAGTTGAACTTCTGACAGTAGTGTTGAGTCTGTTAACTTATACATGGAGACTATTTTTACATTGAGGGTTACTTGTAGGCTCAGACACTTGTAACATTCCCTGTCACAGCACTAACAGTAATAGTTACGACATAAACATTTGTACTTTAGGCAAGAGCTGAGTCGTGGAACTGATTCTCGAGGTGGCAGGTTAGTGTGCCATCTTAAAGCAATGGTGGTTGCAGCACTGATGTGGTCACTTCGACGGGTGATTAAAGCTGCCTTCTTTCAAAAAGAAACAGACTTGAACCACTCTCAACAGCAGCAGATGAACACTACACCGTACTCTTGTCAGACAATAGAGATGGTGTGTACAGATGAGAGAAAGGGAAATGGAAACCAAATGAATGGAAGAAAAATGCTTCTTTCAGGTTTCTGTGAGAAACTGTTTCAGCCTTTGTGAAGGCCTGTACCACCTACTCACTATTAATGAGAATTTCTTAATTTCCTGCTTTTTAATCATGCATTTTTATATGACTGTGTGTCCTGATTGCACCCTGGTTGTAAATTTCTAGCTGTATTTCTTACTCAGTGAAGATTAGCTTTTTTTTTTTTAAATGTTGTTTTTTTGTGTGTAATCTTAAGTCTTTTGTATCATAACCACCTGTTTTGCACATATACCTCCTCCCAGACCTTTTTATCGATGCTGTTGTTGCTTGTCATCTCATTTTATAATGTACTTTGCTGCGGGAGGATGGAGCACACAGGATGGGCCGAACCATTCTGGATGCTAATAGTAACAGCTACTTACTGCATTTCTGAGTGTACCATGTTGTTGTACAGCGCTACACTGCTCACAAGCTGCAGAAAGAAAGAATCAAAGGGTCCATTTATTGTTGTTTCTCTGGCAGAAACTCCTTCGAAAGTGTCAGTGTGTTACCGATTCAGCAGCATGTGTCCTATAACGAAGTGACTTTTATCAAAGGTCTGGTTACCAGGACCGGGAACACAGCGAGCCAAACTTGCACACACCCCATGTTCATGCTCATAACTGACTAATGATACCAAAGCTTCATGTACCCACCCAGAGCTGTGTGGATGGGGTTGTTTGATCTGAGTGGGAAAATGTCTGGTGTGTGGATTGCTGAATTGTAAAAGCAATAAAATAAAGGCTGCCCGATTTACAGTAAGGGCGACAAATAAAGTGTGCTGTTGCGTTATTATTTTTCTTGATGTCTTGAAAAGTGCTGCTGAGAGTTTGCATCCCAAGAGTACAGCAGCTCACTGTGTGTCCTCAGCTTGCACTCGCCGTAGGTTATGGTGCACAATAAAGCTCCTGTTTCTCGCAACCTCAAAGAAACTGTCTCTTTTAGCTCTCGACAGAATTGTGTCCGTCTGAGGAATATTGCAGAAACTACTGATTTACCAGTTATTTACAGGGTGTTAAACCAAACTCACGGCTGTGCCTCGGTAATTAGCCAAATATGCTACATGTCAGCTGGTGTTCAACTACACACATCTACACAATTCATCTATATTACCTTTTATTTCATAGTTCTATATTCAATATTGATCACTGGGGATCTGCAAGGTGGCTTGTTGGCTACCATCGTTGCCCCGCAGCTAGAAGGTCGCCGGTTTGCGTTCGGGTGAGGACACCCGGGATCTTTCTGCGTGGAGTTTGCATGTTCTCCCCGTGCAGCGTGGGTTCTCTCCGGCTTCCTCCCACAAGATCCAAAAACATGTTGAAGTTAATTGGTGATTCTAAATTGTCCGTAGGTGTGAATGTGAGTGTGCTTGGTTGTCTGTCTCTAAGTGTAACCCTGCCATAGTCCGTCCAACAAATCTGCCCTCTTCTTAAGTTAGCAAGTTTGACACCTGCCACCAAACCAAGTTCCTATTAGAGCATCAACTCAACCAGCAAACTTCTGCTGTGATCACACACAGCAGACACATTTAAAGTCCCACATTGGGCCTCTTTTCAGCAAATTAATGAAAGTCTCATGTCTGCAAAATGTAAGTTTTCCAGCTCAAAGTAGTGCGCTCTTGTGTTCACACTTGCAGCCAACAGCAGAACATTTGATGTGCTTTGCTGGTAGTTGAAACATATTCGAGTCAGCAGAGGCAGCTCTAGTGGGTCAATAAACCTGGTGCGCTGTGAGGCGGCTGCTCTGTCTAGACGGCAGGTAACTGAATGACCTGCACTGATTCTGTCAAGAGGAGAGGTCAAAGATACAACCAGAAGCTTGTGGATGGCTACCGAAAGAAACTAGTTGAAGTAAAAATGGCCAAGGGACATCTAAGCAAGTATTAGCATTGTTGTGTGTTTGTTTTTGACGCAACAAATGTTGTCATATTTCCAGATGAATAAATCTATGGAAGAATCAACATGCATTGTTGTTTTCTGTGATGTGTTACAACACTCACTGGAAACTTAAAACTACCATGATAAAGTTGGTCTTGTCTGTAAATGTCACGAATCAGGTTTGGACCCAAGTACAGACACACAGCAGGCAGGGACAGATTGTAAGTGACATGGGTTTTTATTTAATATAAATAATAAACAAAACAACAACAGGCATGAAGTAGTAACTGAACTCAAAGGGAACTAACAAGGAAGACTAATTCAATGAAAACAGGGAAAATATTAAAAACAAACTAAACAAACCATGGACAAATACAGAATAACCAAACTGGAAAAGAGAAACGGAAATACTCATAGAAACCAGAACTAAAAACTACAGCAGGGGGAAAAGGCAGGCAGGCCAGATAAGTCGGTGTGCCTTAAAGGTCCCATATCATGTCCCTTTTCAGCAAATTGATGCAAGTCTAACATGTCCCCACTGTGTACCTTTTCAATTATCAGACCAAAATAGTGCAAATGTTAATTTCAGCATGATTGTATAACCCCTGGTTTTCAAATGACACTTTAAAGAATTTTCCTTGCAAATGTAACCTGACTAGCAGAGGGATCATTTCCCGTACATCAGAAATATGAAACAAACTGAGGGAGAGGCCGTGTCCACTTGATGGAGGACCAACGTTAAAGGATCAAAGGACAGGCCACACTGCGACCCACACACAGAATCACAGGCGTCTAGCAGCCTGGCTTGATGATGCTGTAACTACATGTAAATGAATCTGCCTCCTGTCCCTCTTCAAGTGTTTCAGGCCCAAAGATTTCTCATTATGATCGTACATGTTCTGAGCTGCAACATGTTCAAATGGCTAAAAGCAATCCCTGTTCAGCGGATGTGTGTGAAGACTGAATCAAGCCATGGTCAATAAAACCAATGAGAATATCAAAGTTTATGTTTCAGCTTCTCTTTCTATAAGGGAAAGGATGCCCATATTATAAATACCAACAAGCTGCAAATAGTACTCTAGTACAAACAAATACATTTAATGTGTGTTTTCATCCAGATTAATTTAATTTATTCATTTTGTTCAATTGGGGCTGCAAGGTGTCTCTGTGGTTAGCGCCTTTCGCGTCCCAGTGAGGACACCCGGGATCTTTCTGCGTAGAGTTTACATGTTCTCCCTGTGTGGCGTGGGTTCTCTCCAGGTTCTCTGGCTTCCTCCCACAAATCCAAAAAACATGTTAAGGTTAACTGGTGATTCTAAATTGCATGTGAGTGTGCTTGGTTGTCTGTCTCTAAGTGTCGCCCTGTGATAGACTGGTGACCTGTCCAGGGTGTCCCCTGCCTTCACCCTAAGTGAGCTGGGATAGACTCCAGCCCCCCATGACCCTAGTGAGGATGAAGCGGTGTATAGATAATGGATGTATAGATTTTGTTAAATCAAACTGTGCTCTCGTCACAGGCTGATGGAAAGATAAAAGGAAAACATAGAAATGAGGAGATGTGTAGAAAAGACAATAGAAGAGACTGGGCTGACATGAGGCCGACACTTTACTGTCAACTAGTTTGCTGATATGAAATCTAATCTGTGTTCCTCAGGAAGACTGCTGGCCTGTGGAGAAACCTTCAGAATGGATTCTAGTGGAAATTTGAATCAGAGGTCTGCATAGATTTGTTTGGGGCTTTTTTTTTTTTTTTTATCAGCAAAAGTTTTATTTTAAACATAAATGTCTGCTCTCTGGCAAGTGGAGCTGTTTATCTAACGCCTCATAACATCAAGTCCAAACCAAAACTTTAACACAAAATATCTGACATCACTTCATCTCTGGTCACAATGTTCTTTATTGAAACTAAGAAAATGTAGCCCATTGTGGACATATTTAACACTTACCAATGCTGGCTCCTTCATTTAAATAAAAAATGAGGGATAAAAAAACAACTTTCAATCTTTCAGGTCAACCTCCATCTAAAGTCTATGAGATGTGGTTAATATCTGTAGATGAACTGGTAAATGCACCGTTGTTAACCAAGAAGTGTGAGAGCATACCCAACCCTGCTGATTAAAGTTCTAGAGAAAAACACAAACTGCTTCTGATTATCAGGCCATCACATGTTTTATTGTTCTATAGGATACCAATGAGTGGTAGCATTAGGTGTGAACTATGAGCAAAATCATACAGTAGGTAAGTATGAGTTACAGCAGGCAGGGAAAGAACCTCAACTGGCCTTTTAACCCCACATCAGTAAAACCTTCGTCAGTCCTTACTCATACAACACACATGTTCAGTAAGACACAAAGAACACAGCACCGTATTCTGTCCTCCAGGTGGTAGAATAAAAACACTCCAGTCTTCCAAATGATAACGTCAAATCACATAACATCATGTATTATAAAACAGCAACAGGTAGAAGGAGAGGGAAGGTCTAAAACCATCTGAGCTCTGAGAGCAAAACCAGATGCTGAGTGCTGCTGCCACAAACAAGCTGCAGTGTTCTGGTGTCCATGAACTCATCCACGTCTCCAGCAATTTTGCCGTGTCAGTGACAAAGACACCTTGTTCGCTGTGTTTGAGTCAAGAAGTTGGGTCTAGCTTTGCCTCTTATTCTGTAGAACATGATGGTCTGGCTGCACCTCGCTATCGTTCTGCTGTAAAGGGAAAAAACACTGTGGCTTGTTTGTATTTCTTTAAACCAATCAAAATCATCGTGAGCGGGGCTAAGCAAAGATGTGGCTTCAGTGTTCCTCTAAAAATAGTGACGGAATTCTTGTGGTGGAACATTTGCATGCAAAGAGACGAGTGCTGTGTTTAAAATGGATAACAGAGCTGCCTCACTGGACAATCCAAATCCATGACAAAACTTTGGGTTTTAGTTTTATTTCCAATGTGGCAGGTTGCTGTTGTTGTTTCACGGGCGAACAAAACGCTAACACTCAGATATCAGATGGGGAGGATAATGCCGACTGAAATGATCGGCCAATGGGAGGCCTTTACCCGCAACCTACATCAGGGAGTCAGACTACTATGACACTAACTAAAAATTCGTCAGACTTTCTCCTCAGAATATCCTGAAATATAGCCACTCAATGAGAAATGAAGAGGTGCTAGTGAACCAGACTTTGATGATGGGACTTTCTTCACATACTGCAGCAACTTTTCAGTCAGAAATCATAGTTGACAATGATGCTATTTGTAGGTTTCATCCACAATCAGTAGCACACTGGTGCACCTCCAATGATTTGTTTGTGTGTGTGAGCAGAGGCAAACTGAAATGTCCAAAAAATGTTTGGCCAATTTTGTTTTTTCTGCTTGTCTGAGATGAAGACGTCTACGTATCACTAAAACCAGACTGTGACCAAGTGCAGTGGAAAAAGACAAACGGTGACGTCCCCTGATGCTTCTGCTCCACTTGGAGAGACCATAACTAGATGGAAACTAACAAACACCCCTTTTCCATTATGTTTTCTACGTTTTGTGCACTCTTTGAGCTTCAACTGGAGCTCTTGAATGACATCATCTCCTTCTCTGCAGTGGTTAAATGGCACCAGCTGTATTATTCGCTCTACATGCTGTTTATAGCGACAAGCCAACTTCTTATATTCACATAATGCATCTTAACATAGCTCAGATACAGCAGTAAAGCAATTTCTAAACAGCGAGCGTGATATCTGTTAACAGAGCTTTGATTTGATGGAGAAACCATCACAGCTTGGTCTGGGCAGTTCTGCTAGAAAACAGCTGTTATCTGTCGCCGAGAGGCCACAGTGGATGATCACGTCTTGGCACTGCATGGTTACAGCAAACTACGATGGGGGAATGACATTAGATGCTTATTCCGACAAAAGGGTGTGGCACAGATCCAGATGTGGGCTTCTGTTTAGAGCCAGGGCAGCACAGCACTCTGAAGACCTGAGATGATTTTAGAGCTGTTGGGTTCAGTCAGTGAATGTTCATTGGTCTGGTGGACGGTTTGAACAACCGTCCCCTCAGACACGAGTTAACAGACGACTGCTTCTGTCCATCTGAAGATCCAGAGATGTGACTGCCACCACAGTGCAGAATGCTGTCCAAGGCACGGTGTAGGACTGTTGAGAATGCACAGAGTACCGGAGGGTTCCTGAAGCTGCCTTAGTCTGTGGTTTGTGACAGCTGGCCAGCCTGTAGTTTCAGTTGTTATTTGTACTCTGGACACTGATTACAGGTGAGAAGTGGCTTCCTTTAGCAGTGTGAAGTGTCTTTATGGTAATGCTGCATTCACGGCCTATGTGAACGGTAATATAACCAACCTGATGTCTGGTCAACAGTCCATGAACGTAGATTTCTGTGACCATCAGTGGCTCCTTATTTTCCTTTCTACATTTAATGCACAATAACCAAGTATGTCAAAGATTCAACAGCAAATCAAACATCACGTCAACGATAAAACAAACACACAGCACAGACATGATGTCCTGCCGTAGATTTGAAGATCCGGGATCATAAAGTCAGATATTGTAACTGTGATATAAATCATAAACTCAGCTTTATTCAAAAAGAAAACATTTTTATACAAATTTCCACATCTCAGCATCATGTGTCAATCAGATAACAGCTGTAAGCTACGGTAAACATAGTTGGGAGTATCTTTTTTTTTAGTAAAATATGGGATTTATCGTGTTTGCATAGGTCGTGAACACAGCATACCTGTCCTGTTTGAGCCAGTTCTGCATATCATGTTCCAATAGGAGATACACTGTTGTAAGTCCAGAGTTTGTACAAATGTCTGAAAGTGTGCGTGCACATTCCACATGCATTCAGACTGCAAGCAACACAGTGAAAATGTCGCCTCATGTACTCTTCTTTATTTCCTTTCAGCTTGTCATTGGAGAAGGTGCTGATTACATCATAGCTTCACAGCTCCAGAGTGCTACAGACCTGCTTAGTTCAGTCAAAGCTGCAACACCAAATCAAATGTCACTATATTGAGAAAAGTTAGGACAACCCTACAGAGAATTATCACCACACTCGTTTTTCTCAGGAGGTGGTAGAGATCAAAAACTGAATAGACTTTCATTTTAGTGCAACGACCTAATAAACTGGTAGTTATTCCAGGCTTGTTCTGTCAAACTGACTATTTAAAACAGATGGACGCAGTTTTAAAAGCCTATTCCAGTATTTTTACATTTACATCATTACCAGCTTCAAACATCAGAGCTTTGGGAATCTCTGTGTGCTTCTTCTGGATTCCAGGCTGCTGCTTCTTCTGTTCATTACCACAAGGTATGAAGTTTGTACAACATGCTGGATACCATTGCATTGTAACTGTTGTCCAAAATGGTTTTATAAATACCCACCATAGTTGAACTGACGGATTGCTTCAGTTCTACAAGCAAGTAGAAGCCTTAAGCAAGCCTTACAGATGTGACGGTATCTGTAGAAGGTTAAACTAGACTTCTGGAATGGTGAGCAGGTGAGGAACCAGTGTTCTATTAGCGATCTAAATCATAAAAACACTGGTCAGTTCTTGCATCTTTGTAGAGCGTTATTAAAGACATCATTCCACTAGAGCTGCAAACCTAGATGTCTGCCACCCTTACATCGACTGATGTTGCTTGCGGTGTGAACGAGCAGTGGCTGGATGTGTCTGTGAGGCTCTGTCAGCTGTGTGTGCTTCAGTCAGATTCATGTTCCGTGTACAAGTCTGTGTGTAACTATATTGCTGTTGCTGGATAAAAACACTAACCTGCAAGAACATGGGAAGTCATCCATGAAAACTGTTTGGAAAAAGGCAGGCACTTTTAAAAAGGTACTTGGCAGGTGATTGGATGAACCCTTTTGTCTAGCGCACCTAAAACACACTCAGCGCCACCAGTAGCTCCTCACAGTACGCCGATTTGTCCAACTAACTGTGGATTGGTCACAAGCGCAATAGCTTGAAGCCTGGCAAGATGAATTGTCACACGAATCCATCTAGCGCTCGAGATAACTTTCAAGGAACTGCTCCTAAAAATTCACTACACACACAAATGATCATTAAAGCCTTTAATTTAAGCCAGCTACGAGAAAATAAAAAAAATGCAGCAATGTAGTTTTTCCTCAACAACAGCAATATGCTCTTGTGTGGCTGAAATACACTCACATGATCCAGATCTGTGTGTGTGTGTGTGTGTTGTGTGTGTGTGTGTTAGACCAATACCTCTGTCACTATTGAGACACGGTCAAGCTGGAGCAGAGCACTGACTTTAAAGGAGCAGTTCATCCAAAAAGTCAGCCTTCAGTCATGAACCTCCCACAGTCCAACGAGTCAGAACTGTTCCATTTGTGCATCAGTGTGACAACAACTGAGTTACATTGAAACATTCTGGGGAAACTGAGGACACTGGGAACATGTTCTGGCAGAGCACCAAATCAGGCAGAGCACCAACTCACAGAAAACAACTTAAATTGATTTTTGAACAGCTCGTGCAGCATATCAAGTGTTTTGAAGCTGAGCTAGTTTATGACAGGGCCCAAAGTCCATGATTATTTTAATCTACTATCAAAAGAGGCATCTTCAGTAGATTTCATTCATAAATGTTCTGAATGTCCAGGCACTGTCCCAGTAGAAGACAAAAAAAGAAAATCCCTTTTATAAGAACAAATGATCAAAAATCAGATTATTTACATAAAGACAATGTAACATAATTTCTCATAAATTAAATAGTTAACTGATTTTCACTCCCTACTGGCTGACTGCCACATGATGGTATACTGAAGCCAACATGTGCCTCTCTTTTGCTTGATCGGTCTCACATTCTATTACACACACAAATACACACTTTTCTGTGTAATGCAATACATGTACTTGTATTGTGCTGTCATTGAGCTTCAGAACACTGAAATGATGCTGCTGGAGTTATTCAGTTATTTAGACACACATGGCTGTGTCTGAACAGTAAAACACATACACACAAAGGCAAACTTCAACATCCACCTACTAACTATGAACTGGACCTTGTTGTTTCTGCTCAGTTTTTTGACAAAACAAAACAAAAACAAAAACAAAAAAAACTCAGCTATCATCAAATAAGCCAAATAGGGTATTTTAGTGATTTGGTAATACCACGGAAGACCATGACACATGGTGAAAAGCTCCTGAAAACCCTGATAAGTGGACTTTGAATATAGAACATGTTCCTGACAGCTGACACAGGGCTCACTGTAAGCACTGCAAACATACGACTTCACTGATGTTCACATTGACAGAATTTCTGGGTGAACTATTCCTTTATGTGTGACTTCGGCTGTCTTGCATTAGTGGTAATCTGCCGAATCAGACCTCTTCTCTAGACTGACATCTCCCTCTCCCCGATGTCAGTTTATTGCACCATTTGAAGCAGAACTGTCTGGTGGACTGATTCTAATTAGTGCAGGGTTTGGGGTTGATAGGTCTGTCCACATATGACCTGAGCTGAAGCCTCATCAGTCAGAGCCTGTGGCTTTCATTGCTGCTCAACTCAAAAGCCATATTGTTGTGATGATAAGTGTGTGTGTGTATGTGTGTGTGTGTGTGTGCGTGTGTGTAAGAGAGAGAGGGAGAGAGAGAGCTGTTTAATCACAGTTTATCCCTGTCCAGTAGCTCCTGTAGTTCATTCTGGATGTCCTCTGGCAGCTCCAGAGGAGGCAGGTCATCTAGACACAGATCTTCCTGAGCTGGCATTTCCAGTGGTGGCAGCTGAGGGATGGCAATCTCCTTCCCCTTCCCTGTGCTCTTCCTCTCTTGCCCACCCCCTGTTGCCATAGCAGCACCTGCTTGTGGGAGCACCCAGAGCTCTGAACGCTCCACAAAGTCCGCCGCTTCAGAGTGCAGCCGTGCATTTTCCGATCGTAGCCGCTCGTTCTCGGCTACCAGCTGCTGATTTTCGTTCATCAGGTGGTCAACCAGGCGCCGCAGGTCCTCAATGGTGGTCTGTTGTTCTTCCAAGCGAGTTTTATCATCTTTGGTGGTCTTTGATCCAGGGTATTGTGGAGTCACAGGCTGGCAGCCTCCAGTCTGCCGAGTCTGAAGCTGGTAGAGTAAGGTGTCATACTCTCTCTCCCGGACGCCTCCACACTCTGCAGCTTTGAGGCCCGGGGAGCCGTGGGGGCCGGGATGACTTGTGGACCGAGTTGGGACAAGGAGCCCTGGTACAGTGGGAGGCTGCATGGGACCAGATCGTGCCTTTGTTGCCTCACGTCGAGCCTCTCTCTTCCAGCGCTCTTGGATCAATTGCTGCTGTTTGATATGACTGTCTCTCTGCAGCTCCATGGACAGACGAGCCTGCAGACAGAGAATCAACACCAGCCAGGTCACTCACTCCACTACAACGCTGACATAAAACCCAATCAGACATGGGACATGGAACATGGCTGGCTTCATTAATCTATTAAGCTGACAGCATTGTAGCCATTCAGGTCATTCTCAATCAATGTTCCTTACGGCTGCATTCAGATATTTGTATTGATGAAGCCAGCAATGTCATATGTCTGGAAAAAAATAAACAAATCTAATAAAGCAAACAAGAGTATTTTGCTCAAAATTGTACAAAGTACGATACTTCAACATCTGCTTAGCTCCTTCAGTGAGGTAGTTACTTTTCCTGACTTAATAGTACATTTTAATTGTTTAATTTTCTTAATTCTGTCCACATCTGTTCTATATCATGCGAGCCCACTACAATGTTTCAGCTTCCTAGATAAATATTCAAATACAACAACTGAGCCTTTCTGAAGTGCTCTGTTGACAGAGATTATTATCTGTGTTTTCCACAGAGTTACATCAAATACTGACATTCTGGCTTCATATGCTAACGTTAATATCAATGTTACTTTAATCTTAGTCAACATGAATAAATGACAAGAGTTTCACCCGTTCATAAAACTCTGAAAACAGAGTGTCTCACCTGCTCACAGTCTGTCGTCTTCATTGCATCTGTCAGAAGATCTGGAAAAGAGACAGAAATAGAGAGCTGAGCAACATCTGAGGTGATAACAGCTCTAGACATCATGCTTTCTTCCTCTGTCCCCATACTGGGCCATCACACATCTGTCCAGTCCAGCTAGATCACCTGCCTGCCATCTCTCTTAGTGATCTGTTTGATGCTATTCCCTACACTCGTTACTTTGTGTGTCCCCTTGACATTGTGCCTCCAAAAATAGAAAAGAAGCCTTCAGCATTATTGCCATTATATTAAGTGGCCTCATTTCAACCTATTCTAAAGAACCCACACCATGAGATCCTAGTGTAGCAATGAACTACAGACATCTCAAAGTTACCTTTTACATCTGAGATTGTGGAAAAGTTAATCTGTATGCAACTTCTGGAACTGGTTGAAGAAAAGGACATCTGATGTACAATAATCAGGTTTTTGTCAGAAACAGCACTGAGCTCTCTTCTGGGTTATGAATGACATCATGCTGGTGCCATTTCATTTCCATAACAAATCTCTAACAATATCTTCAAAACCTTTGCTCATTATTTATAGACATAAAATCTTTTGGTAAAAACCTAGCTATCATTTTTGACTACCAGCTGAAATTTGATACATATGTCAAGTCAGCCATTCAGTCCTGACACTTTCACCGAAGGAACACTGCAAAAATATACCCTCTGTTATCTGCCAATTGCACCTCATCCAGTCTGAGAGCATGAGGGGACTGTGTTGGCTGTCCTGAGTCCCAGGCTGTGGAACAGAGCACCCCAGCAAGTGAAGACAGAAAACTTTCTTGGGTGTTTTAAGCTGCAGATGAAGACCGATCATTTCTCAACCTGAGTTCATATGTACACAATTTTGACTGTCTCAGTTTGTGTTTTGTTTTTACTCTGATATAGGTTGTAAAGTTTTTACTCCTCCTTTATTCTTCATTATTTCTTTATTTTTGTTTGCAAATCAATTTGTGACCAAGAGGTGAAGACATTATTTTCCCACTGGCATTATACATGATGTAGAAAATTACATGAATTTTATGAAACATGCAGCTTAACGTATGTAGTGTAGTCAGACATTTAAGGCAGGAACACAGTGTTTGTTATCTGGGCTGCGTACTCCAGCAGTGGACTGCAAACTAAAAAGTAATTGTGAGAGCATTTATATCTGGATGAGACAAATAGTTACTAAAATTATCGCCATTTTTCTACGTAGTATCCAAGCTGTGGGGAACAGAAACAAATCATAAGGGTATCAATGACTTAAATAACCTCCTCACATGAATTATCTGGCTGCAATGTTAAAACTCATAGAAAGTCGAATGCATGCAAGTGACTGATACTGGTTGCTTTATCTCTCTGGCATGGTAGCTGTATGGTTCTAAAACTGGGGGACTAGTTAATAATTATAAAAGAGCAGTGAATAACACAGTGTCAACTCTATATGAATGTGAGTACTCAAAAGGAGCACTGCCAGCAGCACTGGCTATGATGTCAGTAATCTCACATTATAATACTTTTAACTCGATGTAAATACTGTGTATTTGTAGTTACTTCATCAAGACCATCACCAGTGTGCTTCAAATTCTCAAAGAGAATCTGCATGGCATGTACACTCAGTGGGCCCTTCCTTTCTAAACTACCTCAGTTCTTGATGTAGGATTTCACAAAATGTTGAAAACATTCATTTCAGATTTGTCTCCATGCTAAAATATTTGTACTACATCATATATGCAGATTTGCCAACTCCACTTCATGCTGCCAAACTAATGTTCTACCACATCCCCAATTTGGGAAGTGGATGTGGACTGGAGTCACATCTGGTGCCTGGGGAACCCCGTGAAATCATGGTCAAGTTCATGAAACCAGTTTGAGACGTTTTTTGCTTGCTGACATGGTTCAATATCCTGCTGGAAGTAGCATTTAGTTAACTGTGACTTTAAAGGGATGCACATTCTCAGGAACAATACGCAAACAGGGTGTGGCATTCAAGCCATAACTGACTGACATTAAAGGACCCAAAATTTACTAAGAAAACATTCCCCACACCATCACACTAGCAGCAGCCTGGAGTGGTGACACAAAGCAGGTTGGATCCATGGATTCATGCTGTTGATGCCAAACTGTGAGCCTACCATCTGCATTCTGAGCATAAATGGGAGATTAATCAGACCAGGCCACATTTTCAATGCCCACTGCAGCCTCACATTTCTATTGACTGACAGCAGTGTCTAATGTTGAGGCCTATTCACTATTGGAAGTGTAGTGGTGGGATCTTTTCTTTCTGTTCAGTACAGTATTAAAGAGTGGTTCTCTGAGTTAGTGTAGCCTTTCTGTCAACTACAACCAGTCTGACCACTCTCCTCTGACCTCTGTTATCAAGAAAGTGTTCTGTCCACAGAACTGATGCTCACTTGTTGTTCACCATTCAAAGTGAGCTCTAGAGACTGTTGAGGGTAAATGTAGAAGCGCAGCAGTTTAACACCCAAAACAGCTTGGTTGCCATCAACAATCATGCTATGTTCAAAATCCCTAAGATTACTTTTTTTTTTCTTAACCAATTCTGATATTTGATGAAAACATAACTAAACTTCCTGCCTGTATCGGCAGGACTTCTACTGCTACCATCTTATTATGTAATTAAGCAATTGCTTGAACAGACAAGTTTTCTTAATAAATAAGTTCACATCCCACGCTATATGCTCAAACATGGAGTGTGTGATGGCTGTGTCCTGAAGGCTACCTGCTGCTTTTCCATGACAGGAGATGGCCTCTTCATACTTTCCAGCAGCTACCAAACGGTCCGCCTTCCTGCACTGCTGGTGAGCCTGAAAAGAGGTAGAAATGTGGAGAGAGTGAATCTGTGTAAAAGGTGAGTTAAAGGAGAACCTAAATAAATAATTAAATGGAGAAACATAACAAATGGCAAAGTTTGTGCTTACACACTGGTATACTGCACGGCACAATTAAGTGAATAACTTCCTATGGTCTTAATACTGTGACGTGTAAATAAATGCAGGGTAGGTTTCAGGGAGGCAAGATAAAAAGATTTAGGAAATTTAAAAGAGGATTCATCCAAAGGGCGAAAAGGCTCAATCAACCACTGATAAGCATGAAAATAATGTGAATCACATACTATACCACTATATACAGTCACAGAGCTAAGCATTCCTCTTTCCACCCTTCATTTGGTTAAGGAGTTATAATTACTTTACTCCTGCTTTAGCAGCTTTGCACTGGCACCCAGTATGATTTAGGATCTTATTGATTACTTGTGAGGCTCTCCTTGGCATTGCTCCCCACTGTATTTATATTCTTCACTGGCACACAATTTGGAATGAGAAGCCTGAGAAAATCAGGCTGGTTATTGACTTCTTTTAAATCGTTTTATTAAGTTGAGGACATTTCCTGATTTTACTTTTGGTTTTTTTCTATATTCTTCTTTTGAAATCAAATGATTTTGAGATTTGTCTGTTTCAATTAGGTGTCTTGTGTGAAAGCACTTTGTAATGTGGGTTTTACAAAATGCTCTGTAAAGAAAGTTTTACAGTTACATTAGGGAACCCACCACCATCACCACGAAGCCAAATGGGCGATTATCTTAAAGATCAAGGTACACTCAGTCCTCCTGCAGTAGAGATTCACTCACTTGAAGAACCGAAAACAATAAGTAGTGAAGCTGTTCTGGAGGGTCGTGATCAAACAAAACTTACTAAAGCACTTTGTGTTTGCTTTTTATTTGTTACGATTTCTATGAACACACCTTGTTAGACCTAAATTGAGAGTTTGTTCGGTTGCAAACTCATTCAGTGTACTTCAAATGAGTAGTTTGTTTCAAGGGGAATGTCACCATTGTCCTTAATGACACACGTAGACATTAAATTATATAGGAGGTGGTATTTTGTTTTATTATTAGCCTGTGTGAGCGACGAAGGGAGAAGTGTGGACAGTGACATTTTAAAATATTCTGCTGACAGGTTATTATCAACGGACTTCTGAAGCTAACCAACTCGTTAACACATTCACTCTCGCTGTTTACTATCTCTCATAACATTGCTAACAGCAGCATAACAAACGTCTTTATGTTCATTCTGTCGAGGAACCAACCAAAATGTTGTTTATCGTGCCCAGGCTGCCAGACAGCAGCAAACACAGCGGTTAGACGCTAACTCACTGTGGAAGCTAGCTAACGTAGCGCCCCTATGCAGCCTCCTAGCTACAGTAACGTTAGCCTGCTATTGCAACATCAAGAGCCAAACTTACCAGGTTGAGCGGGCTGTCTACGACCTCCATGGAGTGGATTCTTCGATGATTTACACTACATGAAATGTGTCGCTGTCCTGCACGGACTGTCATTCGCACTGTGAAAAAAAAATCTTGAAAAATATATTTACTAGAAAATTACTGACGCCTCGACTCCGGCCACAGCGGCGTCAACACGTCCTGACGTCACAGCCGCGCGAGAGTCCGCTCTGCGGCGTCAAGAAACCGGAAGTAGAAATTCAAAATAGTAATGGCTTGACCAAAAAGCAAAAACCTTAACAAAACAAACAAAACTGTGTTCAAAGTGCTGCAACACTTTATGTGAAATACTACACAGCAAGATTTCCCCGAAAGTTTCTGTATTTCCTTAAACGTTAGTCACGCTACAGGTCTGGACTCGGATATACAGTCGTCCTCAAATGCATTCATACCCTTCCGTTAAAGAAAAGGCAAAATTCCCAATAGTCAGTCAAATAACTAGAAACTGAAAGAAAGTAATAAGAATTAAAGCCGGGTCCTCGCTGTACGCTTGTCGGCCTTTACGCACGTCGGATTGTGGCGCAAACGTCCTCCTGGCAGGCCTCGGATCCGGCGTGTGGAGTTTGGGGTAAGAATGGAGCACATGCGGCGTAGTTACGAGCCACTTCCTGTTTAGTGGCGGGCAGCGGCGGCGGCATGTGTTGGCCGTGGCGGAAACGTGCTCTGGCTGTGACTCCGAGCACGCGTGTAAAGATTCAGGTCGATCGGAGCATGTACAGGCCAGTTACACAGCACGTCTCGTTTTATGGCGTTGTGCCCAAATTCAAGTGGTCTCTGATTGACTTTTTTGTGCATCCTGACCTGCTGCACATACCCACCGAATCTTGTAGCTGTAGGTGAAATGGCCTTCCAGCAGGACTCCCCCCGAATGCCGAAAACACTGCAAAAATGGACAAAATGGCCATTGATCGAAATTGCATGGGCCACCATTTCCAAACCGGGTCTCATCTGCGAAGCGTTTTGATAATTTTAATCACCACATCCTGTAGTGTGTGCTGGCTAAATTTCAGGTGTGTACGACGTACCCCCTAGGAGGAGATAGATTGTGAAAATGGCCAAAAAATGGCCCTTTTTAAAAAATTTTATTTAGCGAAAATGGCCCGACATGCTCGCCGTTTTTCCAACATGGCAGATTTGCTGTTGGGTTTACAGAAGCATGCTAATGGACTTTTTTGTGCATCACAAGTTGTTACATATGTGTGGTGAATTTCGTAGTAGTAGGTGAAATGTAGCCGCGATGGGACTCTGTTGAAATACTGTAGGGAGCGCAGTTGAGCCGTGTTGCATTTTAGGGCTTGACGCTGGCTGACTTTTTTTGTTCGTCCTGACCTGCTCTATATGCCTACCAAATTGCTCTAGGCCAAGCGTGCTTCCGATGGGACTCCGTTGAATTTTTCAAGGTGGCGCTGTGGAGCCATTTTGGCATTGACATGTCCATGTAGTTTCCGATTTTCGCGGTCCTGATGTGCGTGGCGATTTTGGTGAGTTTTCGAGCA